CGCCCGCGCGCTGCGTACACCGTCAATTTTGCGATCAATATCAATTCATTCCATTAAACAGGCGTGTACGTCGAAGCTGTCTGTAACACGCGGCGGCTCGATGAATTACAAATGTAACACGCCGGCAAAGTGCGACGTTAAATTTCCATAGGCAGGTACTTAGCTCGAGTGTCGGGCCGTCCTGCAGCTGCCGGGCTCGTTCGACTTCGCTATTTCGTTATCGGCTACGTGGCTACGTGCTCCTTGGTGCGCGACCATGTTGAAACTCGCGTTCCCGATTTACGAGCGTGAAAAGAACGGGAAAACCCCGTTCCCGCGGAAGCCAAATACCGAGACGGCGCTTTTAAGTCGTGGCGCGTGACGACGCTCGGGGGATAATTCCGGGACGAATCAATTCGCCGATATCGGCGATAATGTCGAGGGACGGTCGATTCTCATTGAACGCCACTTACGATCGTATCATTTAACGGCGAGATAGAAGTAGTCGCTCGTGCGACAGTTTCACATTGAGCACTCTTAGCCGCGTGAACGCGCTACGCTTGAGCGCGCCTTGACGCATTTGATGCCTGCTAATCCAAAATAGGATTTTCAGGTTTTCAGTAATCGTCAGATCATTGTCGCAATTATCAGCACAGTTCTTCGAAAAAAAGAAAGGAAGAATTGTAAGTCCCACATTCGCGTAAAATTATATTCTTTGGTTTGAAAGTGGCTCGAATCGAGATCAAATATCTTCTTTCTGATGGTTGTATCTTTAGTAATATGAAAACAGGGGGAAATCTGTAGCCGTAATAAAGCACGATGGCGGAGTGCAAATATCAATCCTCCCTTCGTCGTCCTCGTGCGCGATTTGCGTTCTTGGTTCATGAAGAATTATTAATCATAAACACGGACGAGCGAAAGCGTCCGAACGTATAAGCGTTGTGAGACATTTAAGCGGACTGAAAGTGAATTTTAATTCGCGCGGGGAAAGATGAATTTAAACGTCCATTAAATTCACTTCATTTTGCCATGGTGCTATTCGATGTATTCGGGTAAAATTGCGTGTTACTCGTAAACGCGACAATTAACACGCGACAGGTGACGTAAGGGACAGTTTACGGGACACGTTAATAGCGCCGTTACAAGGAGACCAACCATGTAGGTCAGTCCCTGCAGGGTGTCCTTCTGAAGCGTGTTGTTCCGACTTTGTTCTTTGATGGGAGGGACGCAGCGAACGGACTGAGTGCGCTTCCCTCAATAAACACTACGAAAGATATTACTAAAATACGACTAAATTAATGTTTTGTTAGGAAATAACTTTATTGTCTTTTATACGAATTTTAAAATATTTTCCGATGTGATTTTTCATATAAATTATCGGAAATTATAGGTCACGTGAACATTTAAAAAATTCAACCATTGAAATATACATTTGTTTCGTAATGCTTATACTTTTGCCGATAGCCATATTTTTCTTAAAGTATTTGGTGTTCGAGCATTCTCGCATATCGTGAGAAAAACACAAAATTAACCGATATGGTTCGGAAGCCCTCCTCTCTCTGCTCAATGGGTAACTTTATAAGCAAACGGTACGAGTAGTGCGCCTAACGACAATAGCTTTCGCGTGTACTATGTTTCGCGGTAAGTATAGTCTATTGTCACAACAACCTAAGAGCCATTCTCGCATATTATAGCATTAAGTCCATTCAAACTAAGTTACCGCCAACTCGCAAGACTACTCGCGGTGAGTTAATATCAAATACACCATCAAATCTATCTCTTTGTTAAACAGCCAAGTAAAATAGGTGGCGTCTGATACGACGACGCCCGGCGAGAATTGTAATAAGCAACAACGCAAAGTCACGATTGTCAGATCTACATCAAGCCCGTGCGATATCTCGTCAACTTGAACGTCAAACTTTAATTTGCACGACAATGATTTGCACGATAAATCGGCAATGTAATAATTTTATCTCTCGACAAATCGTACTACCCCTGTCATATTTGTAAAATTAACATCGCTAAAAAGTCAGTTTTACGCCATCGAGTTCCACCTTCTCCTATAAACGGTAGTACATAATTGCAAATCTAACGTAATACATCCGGCATGTTATCCATGCCTGTACTTCCGATGTCGTTTTTATCTCCGTCCATCATATCATTTTTCCTTTCCGCGAAACGTTCGATTTACACGTTAAATAATTCGGTTAATGGGCAAAGTCAATTTCTGAAATGAATTCTGAAATCTCTGAGGGTGAGAGATTGACTCTCTCTCTCTCTCTCGCTCAGGTCGCGAAACGGCGCTGGGTGAGTGGCCGTGACGCGTAACGCTCGACACGTTTCTCCGCCGAGCTCACGAATGGGGTTTCTCATTAAACCCCGTATGAAGTACACGTTCCAACAGCGGGAAGGCTTCTCTCGGGTCGACTTCTTCTCTCAGATATCGCGGGCAAACATTTGCTTTCCGTAGTATCAATCCGCGGTAGGTAGCGGCAAGGAACGCGCCGGCGGTGGGAAGGTCGTTGCGCGGGAAGTATCTGCAGGGTCGTTCCCGAGCGGATCGACCGGCGTAAAGAGGGCATAAAGCACCCGGCTCCATTACTCTGCCTTAGTAAATCGGTACCGACGCTGAAGATCGCGCGAGCGACCCAATTCCAGCCGTTCCTGTTACACCTAATACCGTATTTTATCAAAGATAATGCGCGCCCCTACCGTTGAATAGACACCCGTATTGTCACCGTGGCCGCGCGAAAATGTCTGCTAAGCGCGCGCGAAAGCGGCTTATAAATTATTGATCACGGTGGGGAGATTTTTTGAGAAACGGATTCTCGATGAATCAAGGTGATTCGTTGCTTAAACGGCCGTGTTGCACGTATTCGTCCGATCGTTGTAATTGATTGGAAAATTGAAGTAAGTTTCTTTTATCGTTTCTTCTTGCGCTTCGCCGAGAAAAAAATTCCCGCTCGCCAGTCACACGGGTGAGGCGAAATTATTACATTCTTCTCAACCCGGAGAATTTTTGTCCAATTTCCCGGAGCGGTGTTGTTGATTTTTCTCGGGCGGATATTTCGCGATGTTTCAGCGACTGCATTAATTAGACGACTTGATAAAGCGCCAACGAACCGTTCGAAAGATAAACGACATTGAAAATAATCGGCATCTTTTAATCTCGAAGCTAATTAACTAAAAACAGGTAGAACAACCAAACTGTAGTAATTTGTTAAAAATTCGCCGAGTCTTGCCTGTTTCGACGAAAAGTTTTCCCGAAGAGTGGCAATAATGCAAAACAGGTTGGCAGCCAAAGAATATGCATATGTATGTGCGTTGAAGCCAAGGCAACAGGGAGAGAGACAACAATGTGGGAGGAGCGAATGCCGTTGCTTATTTACTCAACGAAAAATACGAATAAAGGACGGAGAAATGTTTTACATCCGCGGGAATAAATTTTCTTATACAGGGAGTATGAAGCCGACCGTTCTATCACCACCGCACCCAAAAGTGGCATACAGCTCGATCGGCTGAAAGGAACGCGCTTTCGATCGACTGATCTCTCTCGCTCTAAGCGATCGACTATGAGCGCGGCGTGAGTTACCCTCCGATACAAACGTGTATATCTAATTTGGGAAACGGGAACGAAACCCAGTGCCGAGAGCACCGTCGGAGCATTAATAACGAACGGGGAGTGTCGGGTTACCCGTAGTCGAGTTGCTCGAAGCAGGTGTGTCAAGCGGAGAAGGAGAAGCTTCGTCAGCAACGAACGCGATCACGTACGCAGCCAGCCAACCAGCCACAACGAACCAAGCCACCAGCCAGCCAGCCAACCAACCAGTCAGGCCAGGCAGTCAAGCATCCGGGCAGGTGGATATCAACGAGCGGCGAAACAAAGTTTATTTTGAATCAGCCACTGTAACCGAGTCGCACTATTCGCCGGCGAATAGCGCCACGAGTACCGCCACAGCCGAGCTGTGCGCGGCTTCGACGGCAGCGGGGTGTTCTGCCGCAGCTCGGTTCTCAGCATCGACTCAACGTAGAGACGGACAGATAGACAGACAGACAGACAGACCGAAGCGGAGCTTACGACCCAGGGGGGCAAACAGTGGAGAGAAGCGAAACGAAGGACGAAGGCGGTCGCGCGAAGCTTGACAGCGGGGAGGATGGTGTTAGAGCCGGCGATGGTGATTGTTACGGCGACGACGTTTCAGTTAGCTGAAACGTCGTTTCCTTTGTCGCGTTTGTGTTGAGGAAGGAACTGTCCTCGATGGGGTGTATAGACGGTGCACCCTCACACGACCGGGCTACAACCGCATGCCACGTACACTCTCGCACACAAACGCGCGCACGCGCGACTACGAGAGCCTCGTGTGTGTGTGTGTGTACACATGTATACATACGTATACACATATACACACAAACACGTAACGCGTTTCGACGGTACGCCCTATCTCACGGAGGGTTGTTCGGAGAGTGTACCTGCGCGACGGTATTCGTCGTGCAAACTTCGAGCTTGCACCGCCGCTAGCTCCTTCTAAGACTTCGCCGGAGTCGGGCTCTGTATAGAGAGAGAGAGAGAGAGAGAGAGAGAGAGAGAGAGAGAGAGAGAGAGAGAGAGAGAGCGTAGAGAGATCTCGATTCGGGTTAATTGTGGGCTTCGTCTATAGACTCGGTGCTCTCGGGCAATGAATTTTAGGAGCTGCGCGCGCGGTATCGCATTGCCGGCGTCGGCGGCGAGGAGGGGACGGGCGCGTGCACTACCAGCCGGATATATTTATGCGCGCTCGTGGAAATTCTTCGATCTGATTGCGCGAGCGAAGAAACTGCCGGGGGAATGAAAACGTCTGCATTAGCGAGATACTGTTTTCAAACGCGTCGGAAAGAAGACTACTGCCGGTTGCTCGCGCTTAGGCTGTGCGTGTCGCCCTCGATAAGAGCGAGCGAATTTAGCGGTGGAAGCGATAGCATACCGAGAAATAACGACGGTTTAAGGATTCCGCGAGTACGGAGGCTCGAGACGGGTGGACGCACTCTACATTTTTCTCGTTTTCCACGCTGCTGAGAATTACATTGAACTTAACGTAGCGAACCCTACGGTGAACACGAACGAGTTTAATTTAATCTCGAGGGGGTTGTTGCAAAATCCTCGAAAGCACCCCGGGCGAATTAAGTATCCGCGAGGTATTCGATTTGATCTCAGCCCGCTATTTACAAAAACGAGTTCTACCCGAAACGCAAACTCTCAAGGTAATCGCTTCATCTACGCGAGATTCCGCACGGTTCTTGTAGATGAGGGTTTTGCAAGACTATGTTAACGGCATTCGCTCGCACGAAGTGGTTCACGGCATCGCGACCGTCTTCGCCTTTTGAATCTATGATGTAAGAAAGAAAGATCGTCGCAGATCTGCGCAAACAAAGTTCCAACAGCATGCGGAAAACTGCCGGAAAATAAAGCAGCCGTCAGCGGAGCGCGGGGGTGATCAACATCATTGAAAGAAAAAACTAGAGACAATGGTTCATGCAATAGTTTATTATGCTTCGTAAAAATAAGTATTTACATTAACGAAAAATGTAGTATAATACTTAAAAAACAATAATGTGACGACTCGTAGCGGATCTTAAAACTAAAGACTTAAAACTTAAGTAGAATTGAGAAAAGAGTTCGGCTTAATGAAATATATTTCTATCTGTACCGTATCTCTAAAATCTGTGAGTTTATGTTATATCCGATTGCGATAAGTTTGATTTCATCTCGGAGAGGTTATCTTTACTTGTTTGGGGACCTCGATAAACTATTAGTAACGAATCCTTTATCTCATCTACCCACTTACAAAAACGAGCTTCACCTAAAGCGCGCGAAGGTTAACCGTTCGCCAGGGAATCACCCCGTCGCCGCCACATTTCATCCCTGAAACTGAAACTTTCACGAAATTACACGGTGGTATAATTCATGCACTCGTTCGCACGGTAATATTTCTCCTCGTTCTGTCCCTGTAAATTAAAAAAGAAATGAAAGAAAAATGAAAGTGAGAAGAAATCACTTCGCGGATCTACGTGTAACAAATCAAATCTCGATAATATGATCGTAAAAACCTTACGTAATCACTCTGCTTCTACCTTTAAAACTTAACGTTCACGGTCATCGCTATAAATTAACAATCCTACGACTTTCGGAGAGCGCATTTTTCGTCCGAGACTATCGGGACTGGCCGATCTTTCGTTTCGTGGGTTGCGCGAATTATATCAGCACGATCGACACCGACTTTCACAATTCGACTTTGCGCGATTTAGCCGCGCCGGAGACGCGACGAATCCATTCGCGCGGAAAATAGGAGACGGTCCGGGCGCGTCTCTTTCGCGAACTTCCGTGCGGTTTCACGCGTACGCTGCGCGTTACGCGTCCGACGAGATTCGCAAGTTCTCGTGAGCTCGTGCCAAACGCCGTATGTGTGTGCGCGCGCGGTGAAAACGTAAGAAGGGTGGGACGTCCTGCGCAAGGATGGAGGAAGGGGAAAAGGGACAATACGGCGATTCCTGTGTGTGCTCAGGATGAAGGAACAAGCTGCGCGTATATAACCGGCTTATAGACGCGCGGAATCGTCTGCGGGCTTTATCGTCCGTTTAATAAAGAGGCAGTGGGCGGGAGAAGAATGAAAAACGCAACGTTCGTGCCGCCTTTTCCCAACGGCGGTTTTCTCCTCAATCTCCTCCGATAAATCGATCTCGAAACGGGCCCTCCTCTAGATTATACGGCCGACGACGTCGTATGCCTGCAGAGAGAAAGAGAGGGAGAGAAAGAAAGAGAGAGAGAGAGAGAGAGAGAGTGAGAGAAAGTGACGATACTCACCTAGAACTCGATACGACACGAACGATCGGAGGAACGTGTCGTCCAGTTTAAACGTTACCTTTCGGAAGGAGTCCACGAAGGAGAGCGATAAAGCGGCGAGAGAAGAGACATGTATCGTGTCGCGAGATGTGAAGTGAGAAAAAGGACAAAAGGGGGAAAAGGGGGCTAGAGAAAGAGAGAAACAGGCCTCTCTCTCTTTCCCTCTCTTTTTCTCTCTTTCTCGGCGCCGTTAAAGAGCGACCGATCAAGCAACAAACTCGTTAGGGAGCCGACCGCACGCGGTCGGGCAATAACGGTCGGCGTAAGTACATACGTGCGCCGTCTACGGCTGCGTTCGCCCGCAGCGGCCCACGGCAGCGGCGGCAGTAGCCACGTCGTTCTCCCGCATGTAAAATGCGAAAAACGAGAATGCGCGGAGTAAAAAAGGAAGAGTCAGCCACCACGCGCTCTGACCCGAGAGAGAGAGAGAGTGTGTGTGTGTGTTCGCACGGCACCCTCCGCTTCGAAATTCGCGACATTGATCCGCGTACGCGAGCGAGCCCGGGCGTTTGGACAATGGACGAATGGACTCGAATCGCGTACGATGGCATTCGTCTTTGCCGGGTGCAACGGGGAGATATTCGAGCGCGCGTTGTTACCGGAGCGATGGCAGTGGTGGTGGTAGTACGAGAAGGTCGTGCGACGGATGCAGCTTCTCTTTCTCTCTTTTTCCTCCTTGGCCGGTATGCGAAAACTTTTCGCACCGCTTTATCCGTTCCTCCTGCTTTGTGCGATCTTACCGTGGCTCCTGCTCGGTTCTCTCTCTCTCTCTCTCTCTCTCATCAGCGGTGTAGCGGAGAGAACGTCTCTCACTCCCTCGCTCTGTCCTTTCTCTCTCCTCCTTTCTTTCGCTCACTCGCGCGCACATATACGCGCGCAAACAAACACACACTCACTCACACCCATGTACACGCGCCTCTTTCTCCCTTTTTCTGTTCATCGTGGCAAGGATCGCAAATCCTTCGGAGGCGAACTGTGTACAAGCACCTATAGACGTATACGTGCATTCGACTTCAAAGTCCTGTCCCTTGCCCTCTTTTTCTCGCAGTCGCTTTCCTCCGGCCTCGAGAACGCGTCCCTTTTGTTCATTACTCGTCGTACGTCAAATTGAGCGTTGTGACAGTAATGGCACGCGACTAATTGGCTACGCTCTTCTCCGTTTTCGATTCTCCGGTGACGTGAAGCGCGTCGCAGCGGATCCTCCCAAATTCGGCGGATTTAGGTTGCAGCGATGCTTCATCCGATTACCTATCTCTCCACCGGGCGCGGTCCAATCCGGGACGCGCGTTAACCCTTGACTGGCAACGCGCGCTCGTCGTCCTTTCTCTCCCTCCTTTTCTCTTTCTTCCTCTCTCTCTCTTTCTCTCTCCGTCCCTCCCTGTTTGTCCGTGTACGTCGAAAAGACAAACGAGAAACGATCCGCATGTAAACCGGGAGTCTTACAAAATAACGAGCTATACAAAGGAAACGGCAATTGTAAAGTATAACGGTACAACAATCCACGATCTTGGTCGGCGGAAGTATCAAATGTTAAATGTCGTGTTCTTTTGATTCTAATCACAGTGGCAATGTACTCGTGTACTCCCAAAAAACGGTTTCACCAGCCGCAACCTGGTACCCGTCGTGCTGCTGTCAACGATCGATGGCAGTAACGAGCGCAAATGGGGGCCGAGGTGTGGGATTCAAACACGCGGAATTCACGACCCTACACTCGCCCCGAAGAAATGTAGAACTCGATGCACTAGACGAAGAAAGAGAGAAAAGAAAAAAAGAAAGAGAGAGAAAGAGAGAGAGAGACTTAAAGTAGTCATATCGGTTTTAACAATATCGTTTGTTTCTGCGCCGTCCATACGCGGTCCTCAAACTCTCCCTCCGTCGTCTCCTCCTCCTCCAGGCCCTCCCGCTGACTAGTGTGCTATTTATCATGCGACGCCCGTGAGCTCCCTTCTCGTGGTCTCAGGCGTATCGTGACTATCTCAGAAGCAGATGGAGCATGCCCAGGCAGAGTATTGTCACAAAGGTCATTGTTGTATGCGTGCCACTTCCGTTTTCTGAGGTCACTGCAACAAACGTTGGAAAGATCTTATTATTTCCCGTAATTTAGCGACAGTCGCGCGAGTCTCGCCTCCGGCATCTCAAGAGACGCGTCGTGATCTTGGCACGTGTGTGTTATATGATTAATCGGCCAGTGAATTTATATAATTAAATCGGATCTATCAGTGAATGATTTGAAGAATGAATCTTCACTATTGTATCAGGGTCGCTCGTTTGCGCGGTGTTACGATAAATGTTTCTTCGGAGCTTTAATTCCGCAGCATGCAGTTTTCGTGACATTCTGATTTCGTCGGACACCGCTATGTCGACGCGAATATCAAAAGAAATAAGGAATTCTCGTACGATAATACGACGTCTGATTGCAAAAGAAATTGGAAAATGCGCGACAATAAGGTGAGATACAAAACATTATCGCCTTTAACGGGCACCCTTGCCCGGCGTTCTCCCTCCGACAACTTAATATTAAAAGAACGTGTGCAAAAATATCACGGCTCTTATTATTCATCGCGCTGTAAAATAAAAAAAAAGGAAATATATCCAATAAAAGAGGAAAAGCTTTTCCAAGTTGCACATTTCGCCGCGCACTCTGCGCGCTGCATTCGAATTTCCAGTATCTTGGCGGCGTAGAATTTGTATGCGCTGCGCGGCCTCTATTTGCACAGAACGATGGCACGTATCGACCGGTCGTACCGGTTGAAACTTTATTTTTTAGCGGATTCTTTACGTTAAACGATTTAAACGCCAAATCCGCGCGCGCTCGTCGCTTAACGGGAGGGGATGAGAGACCGAAGAAAAATATATTCGTATAAATGTGCAGCCGATACGCGGTTGATTACCGGCAGTAAACACGTTCCACGTGCATTTCGTCTCGTTAAAACGTCGTCATTATGCAGAGCGACGTTCCGAATCGACACGCCTCTAATCAATAGCGGCGTCGATAACGACGCTACACATGTTCCCCGTCGGTCGAAATGGTGCGGCAAATCTGATGAATAGATATCAAATTCATCGAGAAACGCGACGGCGATAATCAGTTGATTTTAGTTCTGTTTGCACACCCACGACGCGAGCGCACGCGTTATCGGCACGTGTGAATATAACGCGTATGAAAGCTAAGTGCATAGGGTATCGGGCACGGCTCCGGTGTTTTGACAGATGTGTCACGCGCGAGTATTATTATAATCACCGAGTGTCCACGTGCGGCGCCGGCGGTACGATCGATACGGCGATGCCTTCGACGATGTCTCCCCGAGTCGATCGGTAGGCCTATTTCGTAACTTTTAACGACAGTGCCATTACCGTTACGCTGTCGTTGCGTAGTATAATATATAGTAACGGTAATGACTTACTCTTTCATATACTTCTATATCCTCTCGCATTCTCGTTTAAACATTATTGCTCCCATATTATATTCAAATGTCAAGAATTTATCGAGATTTTTAATTCCACTTAGATGAGAGCACTTTCCCGTCGAGTTCAGCAGTATCCCCTTAAAGATAGTTTGCACCTACTTAGACGGCCTATAGACTAATAAAAACCTTGATAAAAAACTTTGACGATACCGACACTTTTAAACTTCTCTCTTGAACCTTTAATTCTACAGATTGTATTTTAATGCTACCTTCAACAACTTATTTTAACGCCAAAACAGCGAAAACGGAAATTTCAGACATCGTCAGAGTCGAAATAAGGGTAATATTATATTATTACAATTGAAATTGAACCTATTTTGCTATCCTAGCTCTTTATATATTGTAGAATCACAAGTTCAATACAGGACTAAAATTTCGGCTCGGGAAAACAGCGCGTTGCATTCTTTGACAAAAAAGCACTTTACGCGAGGAACGAACGAGACGCTTCTGTATAATGTCACCTGGCGCAGATTAAACGACCGATATCGATACGAATCTATCTGTAAAAGCAAGGTAGCACGATTTGGGAGAAAGCTCCGATAAAAAGATTTCCACGGTATTTTTGCTCGACGTTTCATTTTCTCGCGAGACATATCACCTTTATCCAATTACTTCCCGCGATTGGTCCCCTCAATTGTTACGACTTCCGAGTTTCCTTGTCAGCTCGCGAGCCAAATGTATAGGGACTATATATTTTATGGGTCGGAGCGATAGATTATCGGGGAGCGATGTCGCGTAAAACGACATTTTTCTCCGGGCCCGCGTAAGATTAAACCTCGCCTGGCAGGGCGAGGCGTGTCAACTGTTGAAAATCCCTTTCGGAATGGAAACTCCGGGCGGCGCGCGAGGGGACCGCCCGCGCGCCATTAAATGGAACGTCAGTGGATTTTCCTCCGCGGGGCATTGTTCCTTCTGTCGGGTGGAAAAGTCAATTTCCTAAAAACAATTCTGTCGACCACGGCCCAGGGAGTAATACGTACGAATCAAGCAACCAGCCAGCCGCTCGCGGAAAGCCCGGTGTGAACGAAATGAAATTACTACGGGCGCAGAAGCGAACGAATTCCTGTAACGGCGCGGCAGCGCGCCCGTGCGCACGTAGGGTGAGCAGGGGTGGAAGCGGGATTGTAGAGGGAGGGGGGGAGTTCGACGGTAAAGGGACTAAAGTGGAATAAGCTCCGACAGGTTTGAAAATTGAGGAGGGCCGAAATCCTTTGGTCGCTTATCAATCGTCGGGGTTTACGATGTACGCTCCCCTCTAGTCCGCGCTCCTATCAAATTTATCCCAAAATGTACGAGAGTTTTGCGAACGATTGCGAAATCGCGAGCGCTCGGATTCCCCGATAGCGGCCGATGGCAATCGTTGATATTACTTTTGGAATATTTCGCCTGTACGTAAAACGCGACGAACAATCTCATGATCTGCATCGACGTGTTGCCGCGCGTGCCGTGTGCGTGCTGTGCCTTTATAATATAAATTTAAATATATTCTATATGAAATACCGATATAAAATATATTGGAAATTTTCAATCGCGTATCGTTTCGGCCATTTTGTCCGAATTGACGTTTCCTTGATAAAATTTCGAGACTTCTTTCGATTGTAATCTCTTACACTAAAAAATCTAAATGTATTTTTGACACGCTGTGGCAACTATTGACATAAAACTAATCAGGAAACTCACTTTTTGCTACAGATCTGCTAGAGCTTGCGGCCACATGGAGGGTGCGATTCCCCGGGGTGTAATTTAGGTGGACATGGATAACGGTACAGGGTAGGTTTACAGACTTTCTCTTATCTAGCATTTAAATTTTTGCGATAAAAAACTGGAACATAGTTGTCCGGACCGAAACCATCGAGTTTCAATGATCGCTAAAATCCAAATATGCTCATATCTACGAATTTTCTTACGAAGTTGTCAATCCTCGTATCTAATTAGTGAAATTATATTTTTTCGTTTCAGAAACGCAGCGGAATGTGGCAGATTCTGAGTTTCCGATGCTTCGGTAAGTCAGAAAAATAAGTACAAAAAGTAACTTAAAGATCTTTAAAGTTGTGAAGGTTTGTAAAAGGGTTAGGACTTTTAATCTAATAAAACTTTTAAGGAAGGTTTGTAAAAGGGTTAGGACTTTTAATCTAATAAAACTTTTAAGGATTAAAATCTCGTCGATTAATGCGGTTTAATTGTAGATTTTTACATGTATGTTTTGTGTCGTCCAACAAAATACATTATAAACAATCAGGGGATTCTTTCTTTAAATAACAATATTATTTATAGATAATTGAACTGTTGCATACATTTTTCTTAAGGATATATTTGCTTTTAATATTTTTTTTTTATTTCTCAATCTGTAGTGAGTTTATTTATAGAAATGTTTTGGCATTTATCATATTTAATTTGAGATATAAAATATTTAACGAAACAATTTATTTAACGTGATTCCTTAATTTTTCGAGCAGCACAAAATGCGCATCAGCATTATACGACCACATGTAAAATTCGCGATTATTTTCTTCACCCGCGATTAATAACAGACTTTGTCGGAAAAAACGAGTTTCTTTTTCCATGAAAATTTTAATTCTCACGGAAGAAGAAACTTGTTTTTTTTTTTTCGACAAAATCCGTGTCTACGAAACGGATTATTTCCTCTTTATCGTTCGATTTTATAAAAGTATCATGACTTTCAGTTCACGATTTTCACACGCGCGATTCTCGATTATACTTTCGCATTTATCGCATGCCTTTTAATCGCTTAATCGTTTTGAGCCGCTTAAAATCGTTTTCGAGCGTTAACTCGTCAAATCGTTAAGTGCCGTTCAAATGATCGCACTCGTGAGTGCGATGCGGTGAAGTGAGTGAAGAGCAATCGACGTGGAACGACGGTTGGAGGCTACGGAGGCTGGACGCTGAGGACGTTGGACGGATCGCGGAGCGACGCAGTTGGGACATAGCGGTCGGTTTCATCGGCAGACCTGGACGGCTGGACGTCGTTGGATGTCAACGTGAAATGACGAGCGTATAATCTGAACGCTCACAAAACGTCAAATTACATAGTGCATGTTCCGACATAAATCCCATTGATTTCTAACGAGAAAAGGTCACCGTGCGCAGCGCGTAAATTTTGACAATTCGAGATTGTTCAAAATAGATTCACAGGGATTAACCTATTGCGCTGGCATTTAATTGATGTTCGCGTGGGACATATGCGTCTATGTAAGTTGACGCTCAGAGAGAACGGAAGCATACATTATATTGTGTGCCTGAGACGTGATTGATGATTTTGCCTCGTAAACAGTATAACAATTGGATGTCTGGTAGACGTGATTCCAACGCAGAGAGTTAACGATGGGCGCTTATAAGTCTGATATGTTAAAAATGAATATATATATATAGAAAGAGAGAGAGAGAGAGACGCTGACATGCTTTCTGCGTGTCTTAATTTCATGCAAATGCAGCGAATACGGTAAAGGTCACTTGAGTTTTTAGAGTCGCGCCAAACTTGTAGCACTTGGGCGAGAATGTAGTCGCGAAGCGAGTCGTCGTGCGGCGAGACAACTTTCGCAAAGTTCGTAAACGCGCAGTCAGATTTTTCTCGT